CCCTAATCTTTTCTTCTATAATATAAAATTTCTGTGTATTTTTCATCTCAGTAATTACATTTTTATCTCTCAAGGTTCATTTTGGAATGCATATATTCCATACCTTCTCTCCTTACCATGCTCATGCTTTCCTCTGCCTTTAAATATACATATGAAGTATATTTAACATCTGTGTATACTATTCTATTATCTGTTATTTCTGAGGTCTGTTTCCATTGGTTTTTCTGTTCATTGTGGGTTGTATTTTCCTGCTTTCTTCGCATACCTAATACTTTTTAATTAGATGGTAGACATTGTGAAGTTTACGTTACTGAGGACTGAAATTTTTTGTACTCCTTTAGGTAATTTTGAGCTTTCTCCTAGCACATTAAGTTTCTTAGGGGGAAAAAATTATCCTTTCAAGACTTACTTTTAAGCTTTGCTAGCCTAGGACTAATTTGGCCTCACTCTTGATGTATGTACTTCCATGATGTATTAGGTCTTTCCATTCTGGCTAGTGGGAACAGCAATGATCCTCGGCCCTGTGTGAGCTCAGAGAGTTGTTCCACCTGATCCTTTCAGATGGTTTCTCCTCCTCTCAGGCAGTTTCCTCACAAGCATGTACTGATCAGTGCTCAGCCAGTGTCTTAAAAAAAACTTTCTGCAAATGCCTGGGGTTCTTTCTCTGTTCGGCTCCCTCTCCCCAATGAATTCTAGTTGGCCTGACCTTCCTGGACTCTGAATGCTGTATCCTCAACTCAGGGAGATTGCAGCCTGAAGATTCTCTCCAGGAAGTAGGCTGGGACAATCACAAGACTTACTTCATTTGATTTCCTTCTCCCAGGGGTCACTGTCCTGCACTGCTAGTTGTCCAGTGTCTGGCATTTAAGTCATTTAAGGCAGGAAGACAAATCTAGGCCCTGCCACTCTCTAATGGTCAGAAGCAGAAGCAGAAGTTTTCATTTTGTGTTTTTTTAACCTTCCTAAGTTAAAATTCTAACGTGGGTTGGAGTTGAAAACCACTATAGTTTCACTCTATTCTTGTTATTGGAGTTTTAGTCAGTATTGACATGCTTTTCTCTCGCCCTCTTGCAGCTGTGCTTCTGCTGTCACCTCTCAAATCATACTGGTTAAATCACACTCTCCCCGCTTTATACCCAAAGCTAGGAGAAATGGCATGACATTCTAGTATTTAGTACTTATGAGTACTCTCCAAGTTTCCAGGCTTGGTAATCTATGTCAGAGAGACAGCACACATCGTGAATTGCTATCGATCATGTTATCAGCAAACAGAAAGAGGAAAGAAAATTGGGCTAAGGAGATTATTAATTAAGAACTATACCTGTGGAGGGTACAAGGCAAAGAACCAGGCAGGACACTATAGTGTTGGAATGTAAGATATTTTTCAAATATTGTGGAAAAATATAATCTAAATTAAATAACAAACAAACAAACTTGCTCTCTATCAGGGGTGTAAATTAGCAGTAGAGGTGGCTCAGAGTCAATCTCTGAGTCCTCCAAAGAGAATCAGAAGCAATGATTTGTTGAGTGTGCCGTGCATTTCTACATGCATCTCATTTCATTGTCACAGTGCACTGGTATCATCTCTGTTTTATACATGTGGGAAGCTATGGATTTGAGAGGTTAGGGAACTCATGAAAGTCACATAGCTAGTAATAGAAAGGTAGTGTCTGATTTCAAAGCCTGTCTCCTTTCCCTTTCTGCCTCTGACAATAGTTGTCACCGTAGTCTCCAGCCTCAATGCATATTTGTTTAAATTATAGTTTTAATGAAGTATAGGTAACTAGAGAACAGTGTAAGAATTGTGAATCCAGCTTGATGAATTTTCACAATGTAATCATACTCATCTAACCAGCACCAGGTTAAGAAACAAAACAGTGCAAGTACCCTACAAGTCTCCTCACATACGGCCCATTTTCTCACGTATGACTCAAGAGCTTTAGCACAGAGGTACTCAGTGGGAGACTATAGCTCAGGGTCCCTTAACACGGGGTCCATGTGAGGGTCGATAAATCCCCTAAAATTACAGGCAAACATTTTCCTGAGGAGAGGATGTAGTGCCTTCATCAGATTCTCCCAGAGGGGAGAAGGATCAGAGTTACAACTGAACACTGACTCCTGGGGAATCCATTTTTTCATTCAACATAACATCAAAATCAGAACACAGTAACAGCAATGAGACAGTAACCAACTGAGAACTTAATATGCAAGACACTTTATGTGTGTTATAGCTGACCCTTACAAAACCCCTGAAATGTAAATATAACCTCTATTTTATAGACATGTAAACTGAGGCTCAGGATGAAGTGATTTGCCCAACTCCACACATTAATTATGTAGGTGTTGGTGAAAGCTAGTTGGTGAATGCTAGCATTCAATATAAGACCTGTTACACCAAAACCTGTGCTTCTGCTGAAAGACCACAGTGCCTTTGGTAATACTAAGTTGCCTAACCTCTGCTCAGAACAAGCTAAGCTTGAAATACCAGGGCTGAACAGGAAATGAAAGAGTGAAGTCAAAAGCCTAGGCGTCTTTTTTTTTTTTTTAAACATTCCCTTAGAACCAATGACAATTGCAAAAGGGAAAGTACTGCCTTTAAAAGATGCACTTTGCCCTCAAGAGGTGTGGCTCTGAGAGGTGTGGCTGGGAAGTTTTCTCTAGTGGGAGTTATTATCTAACCACAAACCAACTGTCTATCATTACACTGCACTTTAGAGGACATCTATGATTGGTCGACTAAGCAACATTTGAATTTAAAGAAAAGACCAAAACAACCAAGGTCATTACTTCAGTGAGAAAGGTAAAGATTTGTTAGAGAAAACTCAGACTGGAGACAGAGATTAGGCACTAAAATCCCGTGTTAAGGTAAAACCTTTACCTTACTAACTGGGATTAAATTACTGTTAATTTCATTAAGAAGTCAGCCCCTATTTTAAGTAAAACTCATTGAAAAGATATGTAAAAACCATGTGAAAGTGCTTTGTAAACTGCAAAGGATTACAAAAAGGCTAGTAAATACAAGTATTTATAGTTTTAAGATTAAAATTTAAAAAGTAATCTCTAAATACACGTCAAAATTTACCTGTCTGCAAAGGCTATACAGGAGGTGGCAGAGTCAGAAGCAGCTGCAATTCCTGATGCCTACTTTCCTACTCATCACTAGATCACATGTAGGGTTAATGTTTTGTATCTTCCATTTTCCCTCTGCTGTTTCACTGTACTACTAAGCACAGTACTTTATTCTGGAGAAGGCATACATAACAAAACCTATAAAAGAAAACAAAAAAGTGGCTCAGATGACTTTTTTATAGAAAAGAAACCACGGTCTCAAGTTATATATTGAAAAATTGCATCCTTAGTACATTTACTATACTTCATTCTGAGTCTGGGATGCATTCTGAGCTTAATGAGATAGAAGGAAAAATGGAAAAAAAAATCATTTATTTCAGGCACTACAAGTTCTTCTAATACAGCAAGATTGTAAGCATGAAAATTTAGAGAACTTGAAATTCTGAAACACCTGTAATTCAATCTTTTCCTCAGCAACAGCTTGTATTATATATAGGTTTCACTTAATACATAAGGCTGAAAATGACAGTTTCACATTTTATACGCTCTATTTTATATTCATGAAGTAAAGCACTACAGAACTTCTCAGAGAGCCACCAAAGCAGCAATGTAGAATTTTCAGCGTTTTTGTTGAAACTCACTTTATTTAAAAAAAAAGTCATGAACAATAAATTACAATCATTTCCCCCTTTTATAAATTCTTCATAAAATATATTTGACAATTTTAAAAGAAAATTTCAAAAGTTGCTTTCATTTTTGAAGTGCTGATGACTTATTTTTTGACCATTTTGTCATGCTGGTGAATTATTTGTAGCTGCTACAATAGTTTGATTGATAAACATTTTACAGTTAAAAACAACAACAACAAAGAGGAAGAAACAGACCAGCAGAAAGAACTATTCAGTGTGCTATTTATCTGACACTTAACACTTACTTTATCATAATGACAAAGTATCCCTTAGCACCAAAAATCTACAAAGAACCCCATCTTTCTAAGTGACAACTAGTGCAAAATAACATTCTAGGAACTAACTGTACAACCCCATTATTTTAACTGGCCACAGCTGCCTATAAGCTTATTTGAAATATTTGGTCTTTTTTCAATTAAGACAAATTTCATAAAAATGCTACAAACCATGGCAAGAGGCTCTATAAGGACTAATTATTGAGTACCTATTATGGGCAAGGCACTGTGCACAAATTCTTGCTTTAATTTTTCCTCTAGCAAATATCCAGGAATTTCCAAATATCACTAATCATCTTTTATTTCTTACTCCTGGTTGGAAAAGACCTGTGGCTATACATCATTTTAAATTGTCATTTTATCAACTGACCTTTAGTGCTGAGCACACAGTAGGTACTTAATAAATACCTCCTAACTGAAAAAACAAAGAAAGACAAAGAATTTAACTATCATTTTGCTTGGTATCATAGGTTATTTTAGAACACCAGGGAAGAAAATTTCAGAAAAAACTTCCTGATCACCTCACAGTCTTACTGCCAATGAAAGAAAGAATTCTACTTCACAGGTAAACTTTCAAAATAAATTATAATCATTAACTATTTTAAATGAAGCTGGACCAAAAACTATGTACTTCAGAAACCATGACATGTAGATATTTAAAGAGCAAATGAAGCATTGGCATACCGTCACCTAAATCATCATGAACCTCTGCTGAAGTGCTGTTATTGAAGAGACATTATAATGACACTTTTTATTTCCAATAACTCAATCTCCTTGGCCAGATCTATGTTATAATAATTTGATCTACAGGGTCAATTATCATGAAATTTCAGTGTATTTCCACCTCTAATTTCCAAAAGAATTCTTACATTTATTAGCTTGAAAGTGATGTTAAAAAGCGTATTTTTTTATTTAAAAGATTTTATTTTCAATAAAGATTTTCAAATTTCAAAAGATTTTCAATAAAATCTTTCAGTCCGAATTTTAAACTTCCAAACCAAGTAATGCATAGTTCAGAAATTTTATGTACTGCAATTTTTTTGTGTGCTTTTTTACCTTCTATAGTCCCCTTAACACATTTTAAATAAGGAAAAAATTATGATAGCAATATTCCAAAAGTTGTGGAAGTTCCAAAAAGCTCAGGAGACTATGGAGACTATCAATGATTTCAATATTCTTTTTTTTTTGTTTTTTTACTTTTGACCAAAGATTCTAGTGCTTTATAAAGATTAATCTATACACAATGGTCTCAAACTATTAACAACCATAAAGGTTAATGTTCTGTTTTAGGAAAACTTTCTTCTTTTAGATTTGAACTATCTGCATTTACAGGAAAACAAATTGTAGACAACCTATATATAGGTTTAAAATTAAAGTGACTTCAAGAAGAATAATGGTCTATTGGTTCTTGACAAAGACCATACCAAGTGATTGTATACGATTGATAACTTTTCTATTTGAAAGATATAACTAACGCCACAATATTTTACCCATTTGCCAAACTGTATAGATATCATCTCCCAGTTTAGAAAAAGGTGATCAACATTGAATACAACTATATCACTACCATTACTCTGTCAAATTAGACAAGAGAAAACAGCATTAGTGCCAAAAAGAAAGGAATTCCAGTGACTAAACAAAAGACCATTCAGGCAGGCAATGTGAGGGTAGAGCTCATTTGGTTTCTTCAACTTTATGCTGAGGCCTAGACAAAGCCTTGAAATAAAAAATTAATGTATCAAGTACTAGAGTTATATATAGCAAAGTTTTCAGAAACAGAAGACTCCTGCGTCCAGATTTATAACAGATTGAGATTGCAGATGCTCAAGTGCAGAAATGTCCCAGCTCAGTGGCTTAATTGGTTAATTGCATGCTTGGTTACCTAAACAAGGTATGACTGAACCATGGATGTCCTTGCCAACCTGCCAGTACATGACTGCATGGCTAATTCAACTCCTGCAGTTATAGGGCACTGGAGAGCTCAAACATACTTCAGCAGCTTTGGATCACTTAATTTTACTTATGTTTAATCAGATAATTTTAGACTCTCCAAAATGATGCCTTAAAAAAAAGCTGTATAATATTACAAAAATAAAAAAATTAGTATGATTTCATTAGAGGGAGGGGCAGGGTAGGAAGATGAGGGAAGGTTCTTTTATTTTTCATCACTGATTTCACCAGCAAATCTCGAAAACCCAAACCTACATCAAATAATTTAAACAGAAGTGGCATTTTTTTCATATGGAATGCAAAATGCACACATTCACATACTTACATATACATAAATATATACATATATGTTTCCTTTACAAAGCTTCAAAGGTTGCATTACCAGCATGCAAACCTCTTTTTCCATGGAAATTCCTAATACTGACAAGGAATGTCTAAAATACTTAGAGACATATTTCCAGAAAACTGGACTCTCTTCTTTTCTTGGCTCTTAGAGAATTTTCCTACCAAACTTCTACCAATGACCATTTAAAAAAATTTACACCCACATTGGTAATACACATTTAAAACGTATTAACAAAATGGCCAGCTTGGACTTAAGAAAAATGAGAGAAAAAAAAAAATCCCACAATAAAATCTTAACCCTTAGACGGTGGAGTTTAGCTTTTTATATTCTTTTTCAGCCACATTATGTTGCATCAGTGTTAAAACAGAAGCAGCATATCATCCAAGATATTTGCAAATAATATATGTGTCACGTTTCCCAGCTGCTATCTTTAAATGCAATTTGTACTAATCTGAGTTCTAGTTCAAAAGCATCTGGACGATCCTGAGGGTTTGCAGCCAGCATTTCCTTAATCAGTTGTTTCATTCGCCCATTCATAGTTTTTTTCTTCACAGGAATGAGAAGTTCCATTTTGGGATTTTCCAGAAGCGCCTCCCCAACAGGCACAATCTCAGTTCCTTGTTTTACATAACTCCCCAAGAGTTCCTTCTTTGTCTCTGTGTCTATGAATGTGATCCTTTCCAGCATTGCCCAGATGATAATCCCCAGAGCAAAGATGTCAGCTTTTGCTGTATAATGTCCCTCCCACACTTCAGGGGCCATGTAGAAATCTGTTCCACATGCTGTAGAAAGGAAACACTTGTTTACACTGACAGGTTCTTCTGGGTTCTGCCCAGACGCTGAACAAACTTTACTTAGGCCAAAATCAGCCACTTTTAGTGTGGGTTCCAAGTCACTGGTATCCAACCTGCTTTGAGAAATCAGGATGTTATCAGGCTTTAGATCTCGATGGATTATCTGGTTTTTATGTAAGAAAGCCAGGGCACTGCTCAGCTGAAGCATGAAGCTGGTGTTAGTTTTACGATTGGGTTTCCTGGACAACAGATACTCATTCATATCTCCTCCGTCACAAAAATCCATCACAAACCACAAGTAATAGGCGCTTCTGGGATCAAAGGCAATTTCTCCTTTTAATGAAGTCTCTACAAGCTATAAGAAGGAAGAAAAACCAAATTATAATAATCTGCTCAGTTTATACAGTTCAGCTATAGAGAAAGAGTTACTGGTTAAATTAGTCTCTAATTTTAAATGGAAATTTCATGAATATTTATTCAGTCAGTGCATTTTATTTTAAACTTCAGTGCTTCAAACTGTCAATCTGCCCCTAACAAATACACCAAATCTCCAAGTCGACAGGTAAAAACTTATTTCAAAATAGCTTTATTTTGAAAAGTGTCCAACTGGCTATACATGCATGTGTCAATGGAGCTGAACTCTAACGATCTAGCTAATAGCTTCCTGAAAAGATCAAAGTTTCAGCAGCTAGACCTGGGAGACTGCCAGCTGGGGTATAAACATCAATTAGGAAATTCTATTCCATGAAACTGCCTGAAATCTACTCCTTGCCCATTGCACATATGCTACCAACATAATCTGGAAAAATGATCAAGGAGCAACTAGTTGTTACAGAAATAAAGTGCTCCTGTAGTCACTGATAAAAAATAAAGACTGATATCATTACTTCATAAACTTCTACAAGCAAAATACAAATATGTTGGTTATCTCCATCACTAGAAGGCTTCTAAGAACCAATTTATAAAAATCATATATGCATTTTGATATACAAATTCAAATCTGAATTTGAATACAAGTATTTCTTTGATACAAGCTGCAAATCTAGAATAAACTACTGTTTTATTTGTATCATTATCTAATTATAACTCTCCTACTATGTGAAGTTCAAGAATATTAACCTTACCTCACTGAACATGAACTACCATTCTAAAATACAGGCATACAGTGTTTTGAAAGCATTTGCCCTATGGTGTTCTTTTCAGACTCAAGAGTTGAACAGAAACTCAGTAGGGAAGGTGAAGAGTTATTGAAGAGGGAGTGAACTGCTAATTTTAAGTGTATATCTACTAGTATTCCCTTTTGTCATTTTGGTGGGCAGGGGCAAGGAACACCTCTCCATGCCACCTTCCCCCTACAGCAAACAGCCATAACTGCAATGGTTTGCAGATGTCTTTTTTGCGTGCATTTTCCTTGTTGCCTGTTTGCCATTGAGACACCAAAAGAAAGAACAGAAAGGTCCGGATCACACAATTATTTTACCAGATGCACTGTTACTAATATGATGAGATTAAAGACTAGCACCATCACTCTTTCTTCATTTCTTCTCTTCTTCTGTCTTCATTCTCAAAAGCAAACTTCCTAAATAATTTTGAGCAATGCAGAGTCTCATCATTCAAATAATGATTTAGAATAAAGTCAGACGGTATATATTTTAGGCTTGACAAGTCACATAAGGTCTCTTCCATATTCTTCTTCTTTTTCTTCTTCTCTTAAAAAATGTAAAAACTATTTTTAGCATCCAGGCTATACAAAAACAGGCTGAGGGCTATAGTTTGAGGACCCCTGGTTGAGAGCTACAGAAACACAGCCCAATCTGCTTATTTTCATGTGTAGAGAATGTTAGCCATTGGTTCTCTTGTCTAAAATCCTTTAATAGCTTCCCTGTTCTCTTAGGATATAGTCTAAGCTCTTTAACATGGGCTGTGGGACCCTGTGTGCTCTGACCCCTGCTTCTTTCTATGCTCATCTAAAACAACTCTCCTTGTACACTGCAGTCTTACTATCTTCTTTCAATTCTTAGAATGCTTCATGCTTTTTACTTCTAGACATTTGTATGTACAGTTCTTTCTGCCTGAAAAGCTTTCTCACTGACTCACCTGGCTAACTCCAGTTCACCCCACAAGTTTCAGCTGAAACAGTTCATAATTCCTGAACCTAGGGATTATGACAGGTTCCCTACTATATGCACCTATACCATTCTGTACTTTTCATTCTTGACAAGTTATTACAAGTACACAGACTGGCCACTAAGTTCCTATGCATAAGATATGTCCTCTTTTAATTTTTGCTTTACAATTCTTCTAGATGAGGTTTTTAGCTATGAGGAACTAACTGAATAATTCCAACTGAGAACAAGGAAGATATCCAGAAAAACATGGAGAAAAAAAAATTTGTGTAAAAGAATGGAGAAGACCATGTGTAGGGGCTGTGTGGTCACACTACAGATTTGTCTTTACTAGATGTAAATATTGGTTGCCTTTACTAGTGTAAATTTAGAGAAGGCACTTGTTAATGTGTTGATGAATGTCTGGTTAACTAAATAAAACCATACAAAAGATAACTTTTAATAGAGCTACCTATTACTGAATATTTCCTATGTGCCAATTATTGTATCTGCATCACTTCTAATTTAGACAACTCCCATGGAAGGTAGAAATTATCATTCCTTACATATGAAGATACAGGTGCTGGGAAAAGTTGGGTTATTTATCCAAGGTCATACAGCCAGCAAAAAGAACCACAGGTCAAACACAAGTCTATTGGGCTTTAAAAAGATGAAAGAGATTACTAAACAAAAAGGGGATGTCGATTAAAACAAAAAATCACTGAATCAAGTCTGGAAGTACTTGAAATCTTAAAGTCTTGAAAGATTAGCTAACTAATGCCTAGTTACCATAATGGTTGCTTGATGTGGACTCAAGAATACCATCAACACTAAGTCATATGTTTATGTACTTGCATGTGTAATCTGAAAGAGATTACACATTTTAGTATCTAAAATTCAATGCAAAGTCCAGCAACGGTCTATCCCTTTTTAGGAGGGAGTATAGTAAGAATGTTTCTGATATTTTCTATCATTGCAAGTTACATAATAAGCACTTGTAGAAAAATAAACAATAAATAGAGGCTAAATGGTTGTGTCTTATAGTCCCTGTCTTAAGACTTCAGGTTATAGCATGCTAAACTTGCAGTATAAACTAGGTTCTCAAGACTGGTATTTGTTCACCAATGAAACTTTCAAGTTTCTACTTACACAGATTAATGTGTTTGTTTTCTTTGTTGTTTCTAGTCCAAAAGCATTTGTTGTTTTAAAACAGACTTTTGTACCCTGATAGTGAATTCTGAATTTAGACACACTCATGGAAAGTTGTTTCCTGTTCCAAGAATGACTGGACTTAAGAAATTATGCTCTGGCCTTTAGCTAGCTATGTCTTAAGTATCTTTTCTCTTTATTAAGTATGGAGCTACTAGAGATTTTGATCTATGGCAGAAGCCAATCTGAAAAAAAAAAGCTTTTCTGTTTTCTTATGTTAATGCCTTCTCCAGGTCTACAGAAGAGTAATTTGGAGGCAAGTGAACAATTTAGAGGTTAAGAAAGCAAAAGTTTTAGCTGTCAGATGTTTAGCTCCCAATTCTGCCACTTGCTAGCTATATGATTCTGGATAGATTCATTATCGATTCTAAACCTCAGTTTCATTTGTAATGATGATAATAATAGTATTTTTCTCATAAGATTGTTCTGAGCAACTGCCTTTAAAGCACTTAGCCCAGAGCATAGAACGAGTAGGAACCCAAATAGTAAGCTATTAGCACTGTTAGTAACATTCAGGTGCTAAGCCACATACTCCATGAAAATTAAATGGAACTGCATAGTTAAGAAATAAAATAACCCCCTAAAACAGCAGAGGCTTATGTTCAAGCCAGTGATACATAAAGAAATGTTCAATTACCTATGGGTGCTGCTATTGGTTGTGGAGTTTTTCCCTTTCTTCTGCCTTCAGTTCCAAAAAAACTGATTTCAAATAAGTGAACTAATTAGATTCTAGTCTCAATCTCTTCTCTAGCTCCTGTGTTGCCCCATTCCTATGCAGATTGGCAAGTATCATGGCATAACAGGTGGCTTTGTTATTTTTAGGTATTTGCATCACAGGTTTAAATAAAACCTTGCTTTAAAGCAAACATCTACTCAATTCTTGGCATACCCCATCCACTCCTAACTGTATAAACACCTGCGTTTAAAAGTAAAGTTCGTCTGACTCATTTCTCTTACTGCTGACCAATGCTATGGTCAAATTATTACTATTTCCCATTCAGCCATACATACCTGCAAATAAAGGGAAGAATTAGAGCCATGGGACATCTTTTGCACCATTCCATCTTTTTGCAGGATGCATTCCTCCAAGTGAATCACATTTGGATGTTGGCTCTTGATACTGCTTAGTGCCCAGAACTCACGCAGGGCTAGTTCAACATTTTCAGGTGCATGGCATCGAATCTTCTTCACTGCCACCCGTGCAGAGGTCTTTCTGATGACTGCTTCATACACAACACCGTAACTACCTCGGCCTACCTCCCGTATTAGATCGTACTTTGGCTGGCTACTCACCATCTTCAAGGTCAAGGTTTCTGGAAAAATCAACAAAGTACTCTGATGAAATTAATATACCTACTGGCTTGTATTCCTTCTTATATACAATTTAGTTACCAACTGTCTCACTGTTTGCAGTGCTTGAACAATATTTGCTATGCCTTGGGCAAATCTAAATATTTTAATAATAATAGTAAAGCAGCTAACATGTAGTACTTACCATGTATCATGAACTGTTCCAAGCACTTTATAATATTAAGTTCATTTAATCCTAACAATATGATGAGGTAGATACTATTATGGTCATTTTATAGTTGAGGAAACCAAAGCACAGGGAGTTTAAGCAATATGGCCAAGGTCAAACAGCTAGTAACTAGTGGACCTGGGATTTGAAACCAGGCCATCTAGCTCTGACATCCTTAATTTTAACCACTACACTATACTGCCTCTTACATGAACTGCTTCAAAATATCACTGCTAAAACCAAAAAAATTCAGTACTCTTATTTACTGATCATGAAAAAACAAACAAAACTCCAGCTTCTCCTGAAAGCTGACACACACATAAAAGGTCATAAACATGGCAAAACAAAAAACAAACTCACACAGTTAGAAGTACAAACACCTGGCTTATGTTTAGGGACTAAAAGTGAACCAGATCACATATAGAAGTGAAAATGTGTAGTTTTTATTATTTAAAACAGTCAAACTGTATATGTTCTTATTTTAATTTTTCTTATGTTATTTCTTTATTTCTCGCAAAATAAATGAAGTTTATGGAATTCCTTTAAAGATAAAGTAAGTTACCTAGAATATGGTTATCTTTCTGTTGTTGTTTCGACAATAGCTATTTAGATTTAGGTCATTTTTTGCCAACAAAAACTGTCCTACATATTAAGAGGCTCTCTGGAGTTCATATTAAGTTCTTTGGAATTCAACTCGATGAATCATTTAAAGACAGGGGCAAAGGCCCTACATAGAAATGCTCACGTATTGAATCAAGAAAGTCTCAAGTGTGCCTCTTCCCTTTACGAAGAATGTCAAAATTCTAATGAGCTTTAGGAAAAAATTCTCATCTGTAGATTGCCACTATGGGCAAGAAAAGTAACCTTAAATTGTACAATTTTTAATATTGTACAGTTAGGAGAATAAAAAGGTACCGACACCAGAGCCTGAGAAATTGGGACCAGCTACTTTAAGTCCGCAGGATAGATTTAATAAAGAAAACGAAAGCTTCTGAGGCTGCTTAGTCCCACTTTCTCTAACTGGACACCCACTCTTCGAATTCCTACTGTATTTCCTAGCGTCTGATTTCCTGTCACAGAATCCTCTGCCCCAAATATGCAAGTAGGCATTCTTTCCTGTTCTCCGTGGATCGCCAATTACTACCCATCTTAAAGTGGCTCGTGTCTTTGAAAATGTCCCATATCGCCCTACAAAGAACACCTGAATAAAGGGGAGGAGAGGTGTTTATGAAATCCATAAGATATTGAACGAAAACACTGCACGGTGATGCATCCCGTGCGAACCTGGGTGACTTAACGACTTGCATCCCCCGGGCCCTCGTGCCTGTCAGGCGAACCCAGCGCTCGGACGTGGGCCCGCCAGGCCGTACACCTGCTGGCGCCAGGGAAGGGCCAGTCCTGGACAGAGGTGTTGCCGGACGCGGCGACTCAGGGCCCCGCTCATTGGACAATTATCAGGCCCTCCCCCTCCTCGGCTACTTCCAGATGAAACCCAGAGGGGATCCTCCCGAGGCCCTTCACCCCGAGGAGCCAGTCCTGCAACTGCCCCGACTCCTCGGGGGCCGGCGGCTGACGCCCGGGACCTGGGGAGGAGGCCACAGGCAGAAAAGGAGGCCGCAGCTGCGGCCGGTGGCCTGAGGCGCAGGGGGCCTTCCTCAGGATGACTCCGCTGACAGCTCTCTGACAGGCCCCCTGGCGCGGGAGGCACATGCAGAGCCTTCAGCTCTGCAGCTAGGCCTCTCTGCCAGGCCGAGGAGCCAGATTTACCTCAGGGTAGCCGCCGCCGCTTCTCCCTCTCACGGGCTCTGCAGGCCGCCATTATCGGGCAGCTCGCGCCTCCGCCGCGGCGGCCTCCAGTCAGAGGCCGACGCGCGCCCCCGTGGTGCGCGCGGACACACCCCCTTACGCCGCGCGGCCCCGCCCCCCTCCGGCTTTCCGTAGTGCGAGTCGGGATGCCAAGCGCCAGTCCTATTGGGCGCGCGCCCCGCGCTCCGCTGGCCTTATCCCGGCTCCTATGGCTTTCAGGAGCCGGGAGTCGCGGAAGGGGTGCGCGCTCTGGAACGCACCACTCGTGTCCCTCCCCGTAGGGGTGGCCAGGCTCGGGCGGCCGGAGGCCACTCCACGCCTGGGGCTCGGTCGCCCTGCAAATGCAGCGGGCGCGCGAGGCCGGCGGCCCCGGAGTAGTCCCCTTCAGCAGGTCGGGGCCTGGGGGTGCGCGCGTCCGGCGCGGCCTTCCGCCCCTGCCCCGCCCCCATTCTCGACCTACCGAGCTGCGGGCAGGTGTGCGGGGTCGCTGGGGTGGAACGCCTGGTGCATCTTCCTCGGCGCGGGCCTGGGATGCTCGCGGGATGCGGGCCTCTACCGCAGGCCCGCGGAGAGGCACGGCCAGAGATGGGAGGCCTGGCGTCAGCCCTCCGGGAGGGAGGCTGCACCTTTTGTCAGAGTCACTGAGCCATGTTTGCTGGCGGTGCAGTTGCCGCGGCGGCGGCGGCGCGGGGCTGGGTGCGATCATCTGGGAAGACGCCGTCCCCTGCCCGGCCAGCGCGGTGGTATCTCCCTTAAAGAAGCCGGCGCCTCATTGTTCAGGGGCCCAGCCGCCGGGAGTATGGGTGCCCTGCCCGGCAGGGGGAGGAAGGTGCCCCTGCACTCTCAGGCTCCTCGGGGAGAGTCGGGATGCCCTCGGCACGTGGCGAGAGGCGGAGGTTTGAGACGGCTGGGGCCGGGATTGACAGGGAGGACAGCCGTTCTCAGGGCCCGACGGTCAGTCTGAGTCATAGAGGCACCCAACAGCCGTCAGCGGATCCAAAGACGCGTTCGCTTGACAGCCAGCCCAGGACTGTCAGTTGCTCAGAGACCCGGACCAATCGGTCATTCAGTTAGTTACATAGATCAGTATGCATCCGCCAGATGTCCTTTCCTTCACGATTTATTCAGCACCTGCTGTTTGTCAATAAAGTGGTTGGTCCTCCTCCCAGTGCTGTATTAAAGCATGATGTGCAAAGAATCCCTGTTACTACTCTCAAGGATCAACCAATTACCCATTTTATTTTCTCTTCTCCATTTTTGGACCTTGTCCTGAGAATCGGGGACTGGGTTAAATCTTTAAATGGTGTCTCCTAATCCTTACAAAATCCCACAAGGTCTGGCTTTATTACTAGCCCTGTTTTTTACAGGTGAGGAAGTAGACCTCTGCCTTATTTGACCGAAAGGTGTCTTTGGTAGGGGGTCACCTGCCTTGAATACCCACTCTCCTGGCGTAACCACTCCTCCTACCCTTCGAGCCCGCAACACTACTCTGTAATCTGTTTTGACTTTTGCCCTGAGTGTCGTGTACCAGTCTTGAGCTGTCTGCTGGGATTACTGATATGTTCCATGGCTTGGTTGCTGCCCTTGAAAGTAGAGGGAAATACAGAGGCTTTGTGTAGACAGGTAGCTGCGTATGTGGGTAACTGATCAGAATCAGGGGAAAGTGTATCTCGTTTGGTCATGAGGAGCCTTTTCCTTTTGTCTGTCTCAGCCGTTAAATACAGGAGCCCCTCCTCTAGAGCCTATTGCAGACCCAAAGTTATGAAACTGACTCTAACATCTGTGAGGTAGATGTTTAAATAATTAGGGATGTCCTCTTTAGGAAAAAGACTACAAAATGGACCTGTGAACACATTGCTGGGGCCTTGGAAAGGATCACTGTAAGTGAGGGACTCTGAAGCTGAAGCCTCAGAATAAATCTGCCCTGAAGATTGCGTTATATTATTATGTTTGCCCATAGGCCTTCTGTTAGACTGAGAGTTCCCCCAGATAGGAAACTTGTCTGTGATTCATCCTCCTCTATCTGATATGGTACCAAAGTATACCTGAGGATAGCACTGTCATACATTGCTGGTGGGAAGGCAAAATGATGTAACTCTAATTAAGGAAATTTGGCAATCTATAGCTAGATTACATATGTATTTACTCTTTCACCCAGTAATCCTAGGTCATGGCTAAACTTCTAGGAGTCTATCCTAGTGATACATTGTTAAAATACAAAAAACTGTATGCACAAGGCTATTCATCATGGCATTTTTATAGCAAAATATTGGAAACTGCTTTTGTGTCAATGAAGAACTGGCTGAATAAATTATAGTACATAAACAAAATGGAGTGCTATGCAGCTGTAAATAGATATGTGGAAGAGTTCTTATATATACTGATAAACAGAAACTAGTATGTAGTGATGTCCATTATGTTGTTAAGGGGAATAAACAAGTTGCATAATGATGTTTATAGTATACTATCTTCTCTGTAAGTAATGGGAGATATAAATATACATTAATTGCTTATATTTAAAGTTAAACAATGGAAGAATAAACTCAATCTAAAAATTGTTTCCTATGTGGGATGAAGTGGGTAGGGATGGAAATGAGACTTGCATGAATGTACCTGATTATAGTTACTATTTTGGAACGTTGTAAATGTTGCATGTTTATAAAACAAAATTCAATAAAAAGAGTAAAATACTCCATAAAGATTAAAAACAAATAGAAACAAAGTGGCATAACTACACAGAGGAAATAATTTCAAGTGGCTGTATTTTGACTATACCTCCCTGATGGCATATAATCTAAGGACAAACTAGAACTGCAAAGAAATATTAAATTGCATTCATTAGTCATATTGTTAGTAACAAATACTAATGTTGTTATTTTGAAGCTATCATTGGTATATTTTAGAATAAAGCAAATAAAGTAGTTATGTTAATGACACTGGGAATCAAGATTCTCAAGGTATGAAAAAAAGAGTTACAAGTGTTAAAGCCTAGTATGATTTTAGATCTGAGACAGATAGCAGAATGAATAAAATATATATTTTTTTCTCTTAAAAAACATATTTTCAAGCTCTGTCTGCTGAAAAGGCCTTGACACAGGGACCAACCCTAGTAGTAATGAACACCCCTAGTGCACAGATTTGGCCTCTAAATACCATTTTCCAGTTAAAAAAAAAAAAAAGCAGAGAAAGTCAAGGCTCTGATAAATGACTAGTTTCAAACCTGGAGCAGGAAAGATGAGGTTGGATCATCTTGTGCCTGGAAGCAAGGAAGCTTTCAAAGGCTCTAGGAGTCATGTGAAAATGACTGAAGAACCAATACAAAGGGGCTCCACTGACCAAAGATGGAACAATTTTAGCATTTAAAGAAAAATAATGACTTTAATAGATTGCAACAAATAAATACGTAAAAATCCATTAATTAATGATACTTAAAACAACACATTTGTTACCAGTAGAGCTTTATAGAGAATCAACTGATTTACTCTGAACAGCCATAGAGGAAAATTAATTTTTTTCAGATCTGTCCTGGATGAGTTATATTGCAGGTAACCAAAGAGTAGATAAGAAAATAAATTTTTATAGAGGAATTCCAATTAATAAATGCAGAAGGAATGATAGGATTAGAAAAGCATGGTTTTACAAAACCTAATGAAACAAGGAGTGTAGGCAATAATTGTGAAATGATCCTGAAACAACTGGAGTTTAAGTTGTTGGGAAACTTTGTAAAGGAGACCTTAGGCTGACAGCACTTGAACCCATTGACCTATCTTAAAATCACTAAGAGGGGAAAACAGTGCGCTCCATGAAATAGTCTTGCCTTGGAAAAAAAGAAAAAAAAGGATCTAAGCCTAATCTAACCAAGGTCTAATTACCAGTTTACCAGAAATATGGGGCATAGACAAATACTACCATCTGCCAAACTCAAAATGTGGGACATTCTACAGGATAAGTGACCTCATTTCTGCAACATTCATGGCATGGAAATAAAAAAGGATGGTAGAATGTTAAAGCATAAAACTCAAGACACTTACCAAATGCAAAAACCTTATGTGGATCTTCATTCAAGTGAGTTAACTGTCAAAAGACATCTTTGGTACAATCAGGGAAATTTGAATATGAACTGATAGATTAAATTGTTTTTTTTTTGTTAGGTGTGATGATGACATAGTACCTGTGGTAATAAAAGCCTTTTTCAGTTAGAACTGCACACTGATGTATTCTGGATAAAATGAAATGATGTTTGGGGTATGTTTTAAAATACTCCACAAGCAGCATAGCAAACAAAAAAGAGGGAGGAAGGCTGGCAGAATATTGGTAAGTGTTGAAATCTGGCGCTGGGTGCATGAGGTTCATTACGCTATTCTACTTTTTTGTGTATGTTCGAATTTTTCCATAATAAAAGTTAGACAACCACTCTCAAAAATGAAATGTCTTCGGTAAGTGGGAACGTGGATGTAGCGATTCTGCCCCCTGGTGGCAGGTTCTGTTGGTGCAGCTGCTGCCCCAGCCTTAGGGCAGGTCTGAATTCCCAGACCTGCCTAGAGTCATGTCGTTTATAAATCTCTTAAGAGCCCTACGAAATGGATAGTATTAGTGTACTATTTCACAACTGAATAAACTGAGACTCAGAGGGACTAAAAAGTCACTAATGGAGCCAAGACTCAGGGAGTGAAGCCCAGTAAATTGCTGTGTTTCCAGACCTTATTTTTCCTATCTTAACAAAGGGTTCACATGGGAAGAGGCAAGTGGAGATGCCCCTGATTAGAACAGGGCCACAGGAAGCAGATCATCAGGGAGCAATTTCACCTATAAGCTACAGATAAATGTAAATAGGTAATATAAACATAAATACATAATAGATAATATTCATAGTACCTTCTGTGCCAGGCGTTGTGCAAGGTGCTGTTTATACATCATCTCATTTACTCTCTGCAGCTATCCTGTGAGATATACTATTACTGCTCCCTTTTACAACTGAGGTGACAGGACTTGTCCAAAAGTCACACAGCTAGAAAATGTCTGAATTGGAACTTGAACTCTAGTCTGACTACAATTCCTATGTGTTTTAGTTTTTTTTTCTTTTGAGATATAATTTATATACAGTGAAATGTTCACATCTTAAGTGTATACTGTTTGTGTTTTTAAGCTCTAGTGACTATTGTATACTGCTTGTCTCACTGAGCATGAATGCAAATATTAATTTTTTTTCCTGGATAGTTTCAATTTTTTTCTGAGTAGGAATGGGAGCCAAGAAAGAGAAGAAAATAGTCAAGAAAGGAAAGGTGAGCATGTAAGGTCAAAATTCACAGTTCTGCCTAGAGTTGACCATCCTTCCGATGACTTTTTTTTCTTGTACAAAGGGGTGGCTCCTTATAGTTTTATCTCCTCTCTTCTTTTAGAATGATCTCCATCATGCCCTCTCAGTCACTTAGACATACAGTTATGTCAGAGCTTCTTGAATGGGGCGATTTGCCTTTCAGAGGACATTAGTCAATGTCTGGCGATATTTTTGTTCATCACAGCTGGGAGGGTAGGTGCTACAGGCATCCAGTAGGTAGAGACCAAAGATGCTGCTAAACATGCTACAATGCACAGGACAGTCCTCCACAACAAAGATTTATGCTGCTCAAAATGTCAATAGTGTGGAAACTGAGAAGCCCTGGTCTAAGAAACAACAGTAGGCTTGCTATGCAAATATTACTTCAAGACAAATCTCTTGGTCCCCTTTCCCATCAGATTGCTGGCCCTATATCCTCCCCTGCAGAAATTCTGGAGGCATCATTGATGCTTTGTCAAAGACTTAGTACCTTCTGAAGTCATCTCATCTGAGGCCAACCAAAAGGCATCATCAAAATGCTACCAGATTTCAAGATGAATAACCAGGCCCACCAGTGATTCTTTTCTGATTATAGCAGAGAGAATCCCTATCAGTATTCCTTCTTCTCTCCTTC